AAGATATGAAAATGTAATACAAGATTCCTTATAAGATTGTCTACCTGTATCAATAAAAAAATCTCTACCGGACAGTTAAATTAAATTTTTATGAGCGTTTGAAATTCAAATTTTTATAACATTGGATATTCACTCGATTTCTCATGTAGCGATTTCCTTATTTTGTTGTTATTCATAAACGAATTACTATAGATACATGAAAATTTCACTGAATTTTTATATTAGCATTTCCTATTCACCATACAATTTTGAAAATATTTTGACTCTTTTTGAGCTGTTTACGGACATTTTCATTTTTCAATTTTTTTAGTTTTTTTTTCTATGAATATCAATAAAGTTTTATCTGTTGGGCCAAAAAGTGTAAAAATTTATTACAAGGCTCCTGATATATTGTTACAATATCAGTTGATAAATATTAAAAATACATAGGCACAATTTTTTTTTATAAGCATTTAAACATCGAATTTTGACAGAATTTTTCAAAATCTCGAAAATTATTAATCATCGTAATTAATAAATTATAAAATGTTCAGTTTTTATAGCTAAGGATTGAAAATTTAAAACATGATTCCACGTAAGTTGTTAATTCTCTTACCGAAAAATCTAAAAAATATACAATCACAGTTTATTTTTATAGTCATTTTAAGTTCAAATTTGAACGAAATTACATATTAAAAAAACCACTAGCTTCCTTGCTCTGCTCAGAATCTAAAACCTAGTTATTTTGATGTGATTATATAATATTATTCGTGGGTACCTACTTGAAACTTCTAAAGTGTACTATTATATATCTATGATAGTATCACTAGTATCAGGGTTTGTTATTGATGTTGATGTATAACGTGTTCTAACTTCTAAGTACCTAATGGATATTGTGTTAATGTGATATGATTAATTTGGAATTTATTATAGGTCAATTTTTTTTTTAATACCATAGATATATGTATATAATTTGTCTTAAACCTAGACTGACATACCGTCTTCGCTCAGAATCGTTTTTCTTATACAATGATATTGTATCATTGAATTCAAATTTAAAAGCATCCATTATACAGTGACCCACTTGTAACCTACTGTACAGCAGAGCGACATCCACTTACCCACCTTTTTTAAGACTGAGTTTTGTGTTAATCATATATTTTTATCGTAATCATAAGTGCAATGCGCAAAAAAAAATATATTTTTGTCAAGATATTTCATTAATTTTAGACATTCTATTCTGGGGAATATTAATAGTAAGTTATTATAGTAGGTTGAATAAGTATGTTCTGAATCTCCTCCACCTTAAATTTTACATGTAAAAGCATAGACTCCTCTGTATAGGCAATTCATAGTATAGGCGCCTCCGAATCTTGTATAAATTACTCAATATAGGCAACCCGCAACACACATTGGCTCGTCACACGCCACCCAATCCGACACGTGACAGACATATATTTTACGCCTTCCCCTTCAAATATATTGCCTCCCCTTTTATTTACACTTTAAAAAATATGTATATTATACTGATGTACATGTTTTGTATCGACTATATCGAACAATTGTCCTACATATATTTTACCCCTTAATAATCAAATACATTACCTCCCCTTTTATTTACCCCTTAAAAAAAAAATATAATATTCTGATGTACATTTGTATCGACTATATCATATATACATACATACATACTAACATACATGCTCATAATATCATATAAGGTAGGTACCTACAACATAACACAAATCTAAAAATATTATACCATTTTCATATTATAATATTCCTATTCGAATAAACATCTCGCTAAAGCATACACCGGAATGTATCTCAAATATATTATAATATAGTTTAGATATATAGGTGCATACTTACATCATTTATATCCAAACAATTATATAAACATCATTATCACAAACTCCTGAACATATTATACAATTTACATAATATACAGTATTACAGTTAGTCCCAAAAGTCCCGTATCACCCTTAATATCTCCATGTAAAATCACTATATTTAAACGCGGTTTTTTTTACAGTACTAAGTACGAAAATTCTGATTTTTCAAACATTCAAACATTCAGAATTCAAACATTTTCAAAAAAAATTTTTACCTAATGAAAAAAATAAAAAATTTCTGCACTAATATTATAATTAAATACATAAAAGGAAATCCACAAATTATTAACTCAAAAAACATGTAAAGTCAAATCCATTTACTATCTCAATCTATTATCAAAATGTACGTGGTTTAAACACAAAAACCCATATGTTAAACTCCCGCATTCCCTTATCTTGCTTCAACGTCTATGCTTTTACTGAAACCTGGTTATCTAACAATATAAATAGTTCAGAATTAGGTTTTAATGAATATAATATTTTTCGATGTGATAGAAATACTTATAGTAGTATAATACTTCTAGTAATCTTACTAGAGGTGGCGGAGTACTTATCGCTGTTGATAACAAATTATATTCTCGGTGTATTAATATATCCGATAATACGTTAGAAATGGTTATTGTATTAATACAATTTGAAGATAAAACCGTTATTATAAGTTCAATTTATATTCCTAACAAAGCAGTTATAGAAGTATATTCAAAATATTTTAAAATAATAAACGATATAATATATTATAACGGGAAAACGCGAGTTGGGTCCCGAGATATTTGATCCCTTAAAAAAAACACGAGTTGGGTCCGCGGTATTATTTTAAAATACTCGAATTGGGTCCGCGGTATTATTTTATAATACTCGAATTGGGTCCGCGGTTTTATTTTATAATACTCGAATTGGGTCCGCGGTAATATATATATATACCTATATATGTATATATATATTATTATTATTATTATATTATTTTAATAAGATATTAACACGTATAATATTGACAGCACGTGTCAAGGTTAGAAGTGTCCATCTAATAACATTTTTTTTTTTTTACATTTTGTCTCTTCCATATTTATTAATATATTTGGTTAGGTATATCCATAGATATAACCTATCATATCTTATCTTAATAAGACGTATACAACGTAACCGGACAGTTGTCGCCGGATAACATATTATTGTAACTTGCCAGTATACCGGCACATGTCAACGCTAGAAGTATCCATCTATTAGAATATAAAATAAAATAAGTATAGTGTTTTGTAGTGTTAATATTATATAAAAATTAAATTATGGATTTCATGTCAAGCGAAAAAGGTAAAAAAATTATCATTGAAGACGGATTTAAATTTCGCTTCCACAAAATGTTGCGGAATGATGTACAACGTTGGAAGTGTTATCTTAATACATGTAAGTGTTTTTTAAAATTATCGTCCACTTTAGACATAATAGAGAAATGTAACGTTCATAATCACCAAAAATGTGATGAAAAGGTTCTGAATAGACAAAAGTTAAGTAACTCGGTTAAAAGAAAAGCACAAGATGATATTTCCACACGACCTTCAAAGCTCATTAGATCTGAGTTAAAAAACAGTGATATACCTTCGATAAACACTAACGATTTGAAATTAATAAGAAATAACATCCATCATGCTCGTAAAGTACTATATCCAAAATTACCTAAAAGCATCCATGAAGTACATAATTGTTTAAGCACAATGAACATAACTACCAACAAAGACGAACAATTTTTATTCTGTAATAATTTGGAAGATAATATTATAGGTTTTTCAACCGAGACAAATTTTAAAGCTTTGTGTGATGTTACTAAAATATACATGGACGGTACGTTTAAAAGCTGTACGAAATACTTCTTACAACTTTTTACTATTCACGGATTTCGAAATGGATTGTATGTACCATTGGTGTTCTTGATATTACCCAATAAAACATTAGAAACTTACACTAAAGCTTTCCAGTATATCGTGAGTTATTGCACATCTCTTCAACTGAATTTTCAACCTACCCAAATTTTTGTCGATTTTGAGGTGGCAATTCATACGTCTGTCAAGTGTGTTTGGCCAAATGCTATTATTAGGGGTTGTAGATTTCACTTAGCGCAAAGTTGGTGGCGAAAAATTCAACAACTTGGGCTATCGAAGGCGTATAAAAGTTCCAATAATGATATAAGTGACTATCTTAAGTGTATTTTTGGTTTACCATTTTTGAAACCAGAGGAGGTGTTTGATTGTTTTATTGATGACTTAATGACTATCAAACCAGTAAATACAACTGTAGATACATTTTGCGATTATCTACTGAAAACGTATATAGAGCAAGATGCATTATTTCCACCTAATATTTGGGCCGAGTTTGCAGCAACCACAAATCGCACCACAAATAGTTGTGAAAGTTATCATGCAAAATTAAATGCTAGTATCAGTGCAGCTCACCCTAACATTTTTGTTTTAGTAGAAATGTTACTTGGGATTCAGAGTGAAATCTATGTATCACTTCGGAGCTCAGCCACACAGCCAATCAAAAAAACCGTAGAAAAAGAAAATTTTTTAAGAGAAAAGATGCTTTCTTTTACTAGTGGAGAATTGACGCGGTTAAATTTTGTAAAAGAAGTGTCATTTAAATTTATTCCTTAGCTTATATTTATTTTAGTACAAATATTTATTACTTATTTTTTATTTTCTAAAATTAATCTAATTACTTAATAATAATTTTAATATTTTAATAATTTTTACATCAGACCTTAACATAACAAAAAACAAAATTTTTGGGAGACATTCTAGCCAACCTCCACGTGGTGTCTCCTGGGTAACGCAAATAGGCTAGTCCCAACTCATGTACTCCATAAAATATATCAGGACCCAACTCGTGTACTCTATAAAATATACCGGGACCCAACTCGTGTATTACATAAAGTATACCGGGACCCAACTCGTGTATTACATAAAGTATACCGGGACCCAACTCATGCTGTTTTTGAAATCTGGGACCCAACTCGAGTTTGTCCATTATAACTATCCCAACTCAGATATCATTTTACTTGGCGATTTTAATATTCCCTCAGCAATTTCTACAAATACAAAAAATTTCTTTTTCGACAACATTTCCTTCTTAAATATGTTTCAATTTAATAATATTTGTAATTCAAAAAATGATATTCTTGACTATGTTATATCAAACAATAACTCTATTAATGTAATTTTAAATAAGTTTCCTGTAGTAAATGTTGATTTATATCACCCTCCACTTGAAATAAGTTGTGTTGTTTCACTTTTAAAAATAAAAGATTTAAAATATAATGAAATTGTATATGATTGGGAAAAAGCAAATTACTATCAAATACATTTATCACTGTCATCGATTAATTGGTTGGATATATTTTTAAATAATAATATAGAATCTAATATTTCATTATTCTACTCGTTATTATCTAACATAATTAATAGCTTTGTACCAACTTACATTAAACGCAACTCTTCATATCCTATATGGTTTAGTAATGAACTTAAATCACTAATTAATCAAAAAAAAAAAGCTCATTATAACTTTAAATATTTAAAATCTTATTCAAATTACATAAAATTTTCAAATCTAAGAACTAAATGCAAAAATCTAAGACATATAGACTATTCTACATATTTAAAAAATGTTCAAAATAATGTAATATCAAATCCCAAATACTTCTGGAAATTTTTTAACGATAAAAAACCTAAAAATGACCTTCCTAATTTAATGCAATTTAATGACAAGGAGGCAAGCGATGGACAATCCATAGTAGACATGTTTAAAGAATATTTTTCAAGTGTATACACATCACCCTTAACAAATCCTAATTACAAACATAACATTTCAAATTCAATACCAAATATTTGCAATACCAACATTTCTTTAATGGATATTTTCAACGAATTAGACAATCTAAATATAAATCTATGTCCAGGTCCAGATAATATATCTCCTAAATTTCTTTATAATTGCCGCTTCATATTATCATATCCAATTCACTACTTATTCAAACAATCGTTATCATCTGGAACTTTTCCATCACTTTTTAAAATAGTTTATATTTCCGCGTTATTTAAAAAAGGAGATCGTTCATCCGTTTTAAATTATCGTCCTATCTCAATAATATCAATCATACCTAAGATTTTCACAAAATTAATAAATGACAAACTATTCCCTATATTAAAAAACATTATTATCAAAGAACAACATGGTTTTCTTACTAAACGATCAACCATTACGAATTTAGCCACATTCAAACAAACCATTTTTGAATCTTTTAATATGAATACACAAACAGATATGATATAATATATTATACTGATTTTAAGAAAGCTTTTGATCGAATTGATCATAACTTATTAATATCTAAATTAAATCATTATGGTATAAAAAATCCTCTATTATCATGGTTTTCTTCATTTTTAACAGAAAGATTTCAAATTGTAAAATATAATGAGTTTTTTTCAAATCCGATTTCTATAACATCCGGGGTTCCACAAGGAGACCACATTTCTCCGCTGTTATTTCTATTATACATAAATGATATTTCTTCTTCACTAAAACATACAAATATTCTACTTTTTGCTGATGACGCGAAATTATATAAAACTATTTACTCCGTTTCTGATGCCTTGAAGTTACAATCAGATTTAGACGCATTTTGCGATTGGTGCACAAATAACGGCATGGAACTAAATATAAATAAATGTTCAATTATCTCATTCTCTCAAAAAAAAACCATTCTTGATTTTAATTACAATTTTATAAACCTTGAAATTAAACGTGTATATTTAATAAATGATTTAGGTGTATTTTTCGACACAAAAATGAATTTTAAACAACATATCAATAAAATAAAAAATAAAGCATCTTCTAAGTTAGGATTCTTAAAACGACAATGTTCAAATTTTAACAATCATTTCGCATTAAAAAACATTTATTTTTCTATTGTACGTTCTCAACTAGAATATGCTGCTTTCATTTGGTTTCCTAATTCCTTAATTCTAAATCAAATTCTTGATTCCGTTCAAAATTCTTTTTTACGCTTTTTATCCTTCAAATGTAATGTAGAACGCCTTTCACATTCAGGTTATGAGGGAGTATCTGGTTTTTTCAACATACCTACTTTGAGAAATCGTAGAAAATATCTAGCTTACATTTTTCTTTTTAATTTATTAAATAACAAAATTGAATGCCAAGAAATACTAGAAAGATTAAATTTTAAAGCAAAAATTATTTTAACTAGAAATAACGATTTATTCACTTTGAAAATTATACGAACCAATTATTCTTTTTCCTCCCCAATAAATTCACTGATGTCTATTGCAAATTCAGTTAATTTAGATTTGTTTTTTTGTAATATAAATAGTATTAAATCAGCATTTAATGTTTGATTATTTAAAATGTATTTTTTGTTTTGTTTCAATGTTTTTAATTGTTCACTGTTAATTCAGTCTAAATGTAATTATATTTAATATATTGTAAACTATACTTGTACTATATCTAGGTTTAAATAATATGTAATCACTAAACTAAATATTCATCATATGTTTTGTTACACTGTACACTATATATTAATATTGTAAATGGATTTATTCCGTAAATAAATAAATATCTCCATGTAAAATCACTATATTTAAACGCGGTTTTTTTTACAGTACTAAGTATGAAAATTCTGATTGAATGGCATAAAATTCTATTATTTTTTTCTTTAAATTCAAACATTTTCAAAAAAAATTTTTACGCATTTAAGAATTTAAAATTTTTAAGATAGCCATTTTGATGAGCATATTTTTTAAAACAGTTCAAAAACAAAAAATACTAAAATTAAATAAAAATTGACCAAGTTAGAGCAAGTTATGTTTTTGAATAATTGTAGTAAAAAAATAAATTATTAGTGGAGCTTTTAGGAAAGATTAAAATTGTACAATAATGTAATGAATTATTTTCGTTTTTATGTAATAAAATCTTTTTTTCTATTAGCAATCAAGTTTAAAAATATTATCTGCATTTTAATTTTAATCTTTCCTAAAAGCTCCACTAATAATTAGATGTTTACAGATTACCATTAAAAACAGCATACCTACCTAACTATTATTACAATTATTTATAAACATACTCTACTCAACTAGCTCTATCTTTATTATAAATCGCATTAATTATAACTGTAAGATTATGTCCAATATCGTAACTTTAGGTTCACTTCATGATAATTAAAATACTTAAAAATAGGTAACCAGTTTCACTGTTCAGCAAATGATATAACACGGCTATTTTTATTTCTATTCAAATCAAAACTTTAATTAGGAATGTAAAAGTATTGTCGTGTGCTGAAATTAGATATTTCATTATTGAAATGTGAAACAATAATTTATTTCTTTACTACAATTATTCAAAAACATAACTTGCTCTAACTTGGTCAATTTTTATTTAATTTTAGTATTTTTTTTTTTTTTGAACTGTTTTAAAAACTATGCTTTTGGGACATACTGTATACGATACATAGGTATATATTTTATACATATAAATATGATATGACCAATCAGTTTTCATTCTGAACACACGCTCAACATATATATTATGTATCTTATCATACGTACAAGCATGCATACACACACACACACACACACACACTCACAGCCACCCAGTCCTTTATTCATTCAATTACATATGAACTCTAATACACGTACATATATACATACATACATACATACATACATACATACATACATACATACAAACAAACTAATTGACTGTACATAATACAAAGATGTATGCAATAAATTATTGATATAATATCTGTACAATAATATGATGATAAATTCGAATTGATAAAGTGATAACAAACAAAAACATTGACTACCACGCATATGGCGTTCGGCTTCTTAATCATAGTGCGTCAGATATAATCAGTTAGCTATCTAGTTATTGTATATATCTGTGCCATCACCACATCACCATCCACGCGACACAATATAAGTCCGCGTCATACACCATCACACACATCTAATCTTGTTATATAACTCACATATCAATATAAGGCACTTTGTTACATATAGACACACTCATTGACTCATACATGAAATACATACTTTAAAATACTTAGTCACATTTACATAGATACATTTAAACATTCCAATACATCCACCCTAAAAAGTATTTTCAAAAGTACAACATCAATCATCAATTGGTTATACCTACCTACTACTACAAAATTGTTATGCCCAATAATCATTTAGATAATTCAATTCTATTAGATGAGACCATAGTGCCTAATCTTAAACACGCATATTATAGAAAAATATCTCAATTAAAATAGGTAGATCTACCTATATTTTATTCAGCTCAGAGGATTACTCGACAACATACACAAAATTATATATTTATGACACACAATATTATATATTTATGTAACTAGTAGGTGTATACAGACTAAGGAGAATAGAGGATATCGACTCTGAGGGTCTCAGACGTCGTCTTCGAGATAGTTCGATCACTAAATGCAAAAATAAAACTATCATATTTTTACTTCACCGTTGATACAGTACATTTCATGTTAGAAATAATACAACATTTATTTTATTAAATTTGAATTAAACACAAATATGCTTATGCATCCTTACTTTTCATTCTAACCATATCCACTAGTCTATATTATATTTACCTAAACTCGCCTTATATTATATATATTAAGGAATTATTATTTCCAAAATATTTACTTTTTAGTATAGAGTTGTATATAGTATATATTATTAGATATTACACCATATAACCACAGAATAGATTAAATCTTACATATCACTACCGACATAAACATATTATAACTCATGCATGTGCATGGGAAAAACACAAGCGTTTCCAGTCGCCGTCACCACCAACGAAACCCCATTCGACTCGAGCGAAACGTATATTATGTGAAAACGCATGTAACTTACATATCACTCAAGTGACCGACACATATTATATTTTATCAGCGCATACTTACAACAGTCATATCACTTGTAAAATATTTGTATTTTACCGTGTGTATACACACACACAGGCATATCACCTCCGCTATATATCATTGTATAAATTATAATATCGGAAAATTAAGAACTATTAACAATATCTCTCATTTCAGTAGATAGGTACTTTATGCGGTTTATTACAAAAATCTCGAAATAGGTACCTACACAATAATTAACGTTACATCTGTAGTATTATAGTAACATCTTTATCAATAAAACATTTATAAATCTTCATGTTATTAGTCATTTTCCATGCAGGCTCATGCTACAATGAGCATATAGGTGGGAACGTACATACATTCTTGTATCATTATATATATATATAAAATACTATTAGGCCAACCTATCATGAATAATATTACAGATACTTACTTATATTTTTAATCAATCATATATACATTGAAATATTGTATGAGATTACATTAGACTAAAATCATAGCTTATATATACATACATGGATTATAGGTATTTAAGAGAAAAAAAAATCTCTTACTGTTATTATTGTACTATTATTCGTCAAGTGCAGTGAGAATTGTATATATATATATATATATATATATATATATAACAATAAGTAATAAATATTATAATCGAGCCACCACCTATTTCTACAGTTACATGAACATGTGAAACATAGTACGATATGCAAACAACCACATTAAATCATATACCGATATGTATATTTGACATTACAAACACCTAAACATATTATATGGATTACATAAATATATATATAAGCATATAAACATTCAAATATACACCTCAATAAGTCGCCTACATATAGGCATACACATATTTACATACACACATACTAGTATATAACCTTACATATTCTTATATAATTAAACAGTATTCATACATAGGTACATACGTACATAGATATATATTTAATTAAACAGCATTCATGCATACATAATACATATAGACTCGACCTATTATTCCAAATAATAATTTACATAAAATATTTTCGATATATTATTTGATACCTAATGTCTTAAACATATATTAATTATTATATATTAACAGTTGATACATAAAATATATCACAACGTAGCCATGCATACTGATACAACGCTATACAATATACTGCAGCAATTAAATGCAATATAGGACATACTCATATATAATTGACTCATTTTTTCGTTAAATACGTAGGTAGAATTTATGCTGAAATCTAAAAAATTACTAATCAATATGAATATACGTTAAAATGTACTAATTTCGATAAAAACATAGCTGTCTGTGTGTAAATACAAAAATCTTGCTAAAATAAGTAAAAATATCATAATTTTAATAAAG